AAGATTGCCGAATGAGTTTTAAATGCAAGAAAATGAGTCACATGCAGTACTCTCATTGTTTGAAACGATGCATGGCTTTGTTTAGACAGTTGACTTTCCCACAGCACAAACACACACATACAAACAGACACAAATTTCTGTGCCTGACTGGCAGGGTTCTAAGGTCAAAGGTCAACTCTCTATTGAGTCATCAGAAGGGGGAGGTTCCGAAAGGGTGTTGTTGTGGCGATTTAGAGACCTTGATTGGCAGGGGGAGGCGTGGCTTTTGTCATGCTCACATATGGCAGCCGAAGTCACATTGTTAGAATGCTAATCTGTGGTACTGTGGGTTAGTCACACCTCACGCACACATACACACTGATTTTTTTGTGTAAACGCTGCGTTTGAGTGTGTGTGTGTGTATGCGAGCGGCTCGCAACATATTCAACAGCTCAATTGACGAGCGAGCTGAAGAAAGACTGTTACATCCTCCGAGAGATGACTCAATTTCAGTCGCACTGCTCTGTGGGACCACCAGCGTTAAATTCTGCATGCTTGGAGCATCAGTGAATCTAATCCACCGACAAATGTGCCTTTTGTCTGTAGGCCACAGCAGTGTATGTCTTTATTAACTGCTTAGGTGCAATTTGTTATTCACTTATGTATAAAAAATATGTTTAAAAGTCAAGTGTTTAATGTTCACTATTCTCATGTAGCCTGATTTTTTGCTGTTTAACATAAGGCTAATCCACTTTGCAACTTCTTTCCAATAAAGCTTTTTGGGCATTTGTGGGCAAAAAAGGTCCTTTGTCGATAATGTAGCAGTATATGAAGTACAGTTTACACAGAAGTAAGCTAAGAAGTAAACTGGTCAGCTTTCTGTTGGTCAGCACTGCCAATTTGCTTAACCATCTTGAAGCCAAGCTGAAATCTGCATAGGGAAATTTTTTACCTTAATGCATAATTTCCAGTCATGTGGATTCCTATTGAAATGACTGCATTTCTATCTGACTGACAAAACAACAAATGACCAGTTGTTGGGTGTGTTTATATTGATACCACAATGATAGACTGGTGTGGACAAAGTAATAAATACAGATAATTTTACATATAAAACTCAGAAACAAATGAGAAGACATTATTCTGCTCTGCATGTCTAGAAAACTGGCACGAACAAAACTCTCAACCAAAATTTTTTTGTGAAACCTGTTTGAATTTTTTTCCTGCCACTAGTGACCACTAAATACAGTGCTCACCTTTAAGTGGTAATAGTTATCTTTATCAATATGAACTGAGAAGACTTTCCTATTAGGGTGTGTATGATTATGGGCCATCTGTATAGTATTGATGGCTTGTTTTAATGGTGAAACTGGGTGTTTCCAGTGAGACTACTGTACTACTTTCCATTGAGAGAGAGAAAAAATAAACAGTTTTGTCATTTTAATGACTCGCCCTGGGGTCAGTTGTTTTTGCTTCCTGTCTCTGTGGGTCAAATTAAACAGCACCACTATTGGAACGAGCTCACACCGTTTTGACACAACCATAAATCCTGAACATACACGTACAAACACACATACTCAAGAGAGACCTGAGCTTCTTGGCACCCCCGGAGACCCTTTCCTCCCAATATTCTCTGCAGTTCACAATTCAGCTGAATATCCACCGCACTGGTCTTACCTCCTAACCCCAGTCTGACATCAGAGTTAAAGAGGCTTAATATGTTAACAGCGTAATGCCGGGAGGAATTTGAGCAGCGCTTTTCGACTGATTATCAGACCTCTGCTTGGGTCTTTCTTGTGCTGTTTTTTCTCTGAATCATTGGGGTCCAGCACGACATTGCAACACTTTTCAGCTCTTATCTTTTGATGAAGGATGGGATAAATGTACTAACTCTCTTCTCCCATTCCCTCTGGATAAAGTGCTCGGGTAGATTGAGGAACAGCTGAGAATTCGTCACAGCATTTCTTTTTCAGCAGATACACTGAGATAAATGTCACACACACACACACTAAATCTCAGTGTCAAGTAAGATAGGGTCCTAAATTAACTCTCGCTCTCTTACATGGGTAGTTGACATTAATAATTTTGGGAAGTTAATAAGGCGAATCTAGGATTTCACTGAAAGGGGAGCTGAGCTGAGTTGATGTATAGCTCAGAGTAATATTTATTTCCTTTAGTCTAAAGTTGCTAAACCAACAACAAAAAAATAATTATAATAATATAATTTAAAAGATAAAAATAAATACAAATTAAAATTAATATAATTTTAAAAATAATATAATTCTTCTAAAACTATTCTGAAAAGCATTTGGCTAGTTTTATTTATTTATTTATTTATTTTTATGTAGTCTCTATGACACCTTATTGATTGAGAGACTACATTAAATATTTCTACTTTTAAAAAATAATAAGTCTCAGGATTATTTAGAATGAACTACTTAGCATAAAGGTGTTTAAAAGAAATGATCACTAGTTACAGGGCAATACAATACAATTTCCCTCACACATTTACATTAATTTGAACCTAAAATCTTGATTTTAAAAAGTCAATGGACACATTAATTGTCAACTACTCCCATACAGACATTCACTCACACACATTTCTCATGCTGTTCACCGTGTAAATCAGCAAACACAGAAGCCTCACTGAGTGAGAGCGAGCCAGCGAGAGCAGCCTGTGACAAGGTGAGGATCTCGAAGACAAGGGGAAGGAGAAGTGCAGGGGGCACAGGCACCCTTGCCAACTTTCTTAGGCATGTGTGTTTGTCTATGTGCATGTTGCCCGCTCAGGCAGTGTTACCATGCAACTGTTCAAAAACACAGCCCATAATATTTGCACAGTTAATTTTTTTTTCCACGCAGACCTTCGAAGTACGTCGAGGAGGAATAAGAGAGAGACACAGAAAGAAGCAGAGGGAGAGACATATATGCAATTAGAGTGTGCTCTATGAATGAATGGATGGTTATGTGTGTGTGTGTGTGTGTCTATCTATCTATCTGTCTATCTGTCTGTCTATCTGTCTGTCTGTCTGTCTGCATGTCTCTCTTTTAAACAAACCAGTGTATAGCAAACATTCAAAGATAGTCTTGACAAACTTTGCTCTTCTAGTTAAAAATCCCAGTATATGGATTTCAATTCATTTAAATTCTGTTTGCTTACATTCCAATTGTCCTGTTTGGAACCTTAATTCAACTTCAATTCTGATTTATCAGCACAGTGGATCATAGTCATGACATTATACAGACACAGAATTTAGCACCTGCTCTTCTTCAGCTAACAGAAAAACCTGAGGAAGGATTCAAGTGGACCTCTTATGTAATACTTTATGAGTAAAACTCTGTCTCTATCATCCTCTCTCTCTAGTTGAGGCATCAGCAGTGGAGTTTGGTCATGGAGAGTGCCGTTCCATCTGACCGGGGAAACTACACATGTGTGGTGCAAAACAAATACGGGATAATCAAACACACTTACCAACTCGACGTGCTGGGTATGAACACGCAACCCACACACATTCAAACTTTAAATCACTTAGCTTCATTGCTGAGTGCCCTCCGTCTCTCCATCTCTCGTTCAATCAGAGCGCTCTCCTCACCGGCCCATCCTACAGGCGGGACTCCCGGCCAATCAGACGGTGGTGGTGGGCAGTGATGTCGAGTTCCACTGTAAGGTGTATAGTGATGCTCAGCCACACATCCAGTGGCTCAAACACATCGAGGTGAATGGAAGCCAGTATGGGCCCAATGGCGTCCCCTATGTCCACATTCTTAAGGTACAGTATCAGAAGAATGCATGAATGAACCACTTTTAAGAGGATAATTCAAACATTGTTTTTTCAAAAAACTTTTAGTATGCCTTTTTATTAATATTACGCTAATTGTGATTTGTTACGATGACAATGATTTAAACATTTAGATTATAGATTAATTTTTTCATTGCAATTCTTGATTTTTTTTCTTGAAAATGTTATTATGAAAACATTTTTAGCTTTTGCTTGTTAGAATGGTCCATCATAAATATTGAAGGCATTTTTTGAAATGTGTCCAAGTGCAGCTTAAATTAAACCACATATTAAGTCTC